GCCAGGCAAACGCTTATGCCGCTGAGCTATATCCCCAGCCCCCTAGTAACTTTTTACATCAGTGAAATTCAATTGTGGAAACAGGAGCCATGCTAAGTGTTTGAAATGAGGAATTTTACTATAACATATGCAGGGACTGTTGATAGGAATGTTAATGTCTAACATGGGAAGGCCAGACAACTCAGAGACTAACAAAAGCCAGCAGGGACCCCTAGCATCAGGATGGAAAAATAAGGCTGTCCAAAGTTGTCCAGAAGATTGAGCTATGACAGGTAAGGCAGCTGGAACCCCAAGGGGAAGTTCAGGGATACAGGGCCTTATGGAAGATGTCCACCTAAGGAAGGGGAGTCAGGGAAATACTCTTGAAAGTGTCAGACTAATTGTGTATAGAGAACAATGTCTATATATGCATGGTACTTTGTCATTTTTATTGGTTTCACCTTCATTTAGTTTTTTCTGAATATTAGTGTTTCTTATGGTTTCATCTCAATCTTCTTGCTTACTACTATTCGCTATATTACGCTATCTCAAATCTATTCACTCTTTTAACCATCTTTTCACGATAACTTCCAAAATTGAGCCATACTGAAGTACGTAATTGTCAAATTCTGACATCCTTCAGGGACCTCAGATTCAATATGCTCAAACTTGAGCTTTGATTACTTTCTTCTTAACCTGATATTTCTCTCAAGCTCAATTAAGAACCTCTTCTCTGTGCTTATTCTCTTTTCTCACTGAGTTTTCCTAACTTTAAGATTTACCATTTTTTCAAATGGGGCAGTCATATAGTATCCCAACCTCTGTTCTGTGACCTTGGAATCTATCTTGTATTTCATTTGGCTCATCTTTAAAAATCCCAGTTGTATTAAGGCTACACTCATAAATAAGATTATTGACTCTCCATCGTTTTGATATGGCTGAAGCCTAATGTATAGCTTCTCTTTAGTTAGATTTTCATAAATACTCATTTCAAACCATACTGAAATATTTATATTCCTCTAAAACACTGTGTTTTTAATTCTTCCTTTCAAATAATGTGATTTCTATTTTCATGATTAGATATTTGTGTCTGTGGCTCCCTTATCATTCACATTCTACCCATCCTCACCCTGTTGTGATTGCACACACCTCTAATTCCAGCACTTTGGAGACTGAGGCTGGAAGACAGTGAGTTCAAGACCATTTTGAACTAAATAGCAGGTTTAAGACTGGCCTGGACTCTAATGAGATTTTTTTCTCAAAAGAAAAAATAAGCACTACTTTTCAGTTACCTAGCTAATCCCAACTTGTGAGGAAGATAAAATTTTAATTAGATCTTTCAGGAAGCTGTTTTGGATGTCTATTTACTTGTGTGCATATCTTCTACATCTTGATCTTTGCATGAGTCACTTTCCTATAATCTTTTTTATCTCTTTATTATTTTTCCTTAGCATTGATCAGCATTTCAGAAAATTGCACATCTCCCATTCATGGTCAAGAAATATTGCTGGCACTAATCTCCCCTGTAGATCCACTCAAGCAGAATAGCCCCAGTTTACATGGTTGCACATTTCCTAATGCCACCTGCACCTCTGGTTCTGCTGCCACCACATGGTCCTGACTTCTCAGTTTTGTTAGTACTATGGCCTTCTTTGTCCCTTCAGCCCTACTCTGATAGTGTAGTTTGGCTGCCTTCATTATATGCTTAGCTTCTCAGCTCTGTAATCACTAACATAACGAGTTACCTGAGTTAAATTCTCTGTATGTGAAAGACCTATATACTTTTTTCTTTGATCATTCACCTAACCCTTCAGATAGTCTTTTCACATTGTACATTGCTATAGCTTCTTAACCAGTTTGTTTTCCTCCATAGGTTGTCTGTCTACTATGGAAAGTAGTGCATTTTATCCATTTTGTGTCTTTTACACTGTTCTTGAAAATTATTATGCCTTTTGATTTTAACAATTTTATAAGTATTATCTAATTTTTTATAGATCTCTTCTAATTCTTTAATTCTTTCTTTAAAGATGCAGCACCAGTCACGATTGAAAGTTCTATTTTTGATTCTCATTTCCTCCTGCCCAATTTCCTATAATGTATATGACTCAACCATGGCTCATTCATCACTATTTATTTCTCACTTCTGTATTTAGTAACTGCCAGAATTTCCTCTCGATACTTCCTCTGGATTTTAACATTTCCTTTTTACAAGGATATATCTATCCATTTATTTATATTAAATGTCCTAATTTCTCTAAAACTTCTTACAAAAATGCTTAAATTCCCTTATGTATTAAGGTACAATGTTACAATTATTACATTATTTAAAATATTCAATGACATTTTGTACATCTATATTATCATATATTAACAGAGTAAATGTGTCTTTTATTTATTTATGAACAAGTAATTCTCAAATCATTTGTAAATATAAATTGGCTTTGTCATTAACATGTAATCTCTTTCATTAGACTTAATTTTCTAGAAAGTAATTGTGTTTGATTAGCTTTTTCCACAGTGATTAGTTGTGTTATAATTTTTATTTGCTTAATACATATTTATTGAACAATTCAGCTACCTTATGGATAAATGTGTTACAAAATGTAAGAAATTTTTATACTAAGTGGTACATGAAATATACTTTGAGAGCCTGATTGTATCTAGAAAGTAATTTTAATATAATATTGCATTCTTATACATGAAACATATTCTGTCAATTTTGCAAAAAATTCAGAAAGAAAAATCATAAAGTGAGGGAATCAATGAATATAATATTTTTCTTTGTGAAAAAATGATGTGCACCATCCATGCTGTAGGAAGACAACATCAATTTAGAAGAGAAAAGGAAAAGGAGTTTTTAGTCCATTCCTTTACACGTGCAATACTATAGATCCATTACATGTCAGATGTTATTCAAAATAAGAGTCAAAGAAAGTCTGAGCTAGTTCATACAAAATTCCATGTAGTAAAGGGCCGATCTCCAGGCTGGTCCTTTGGCAAGATTGTATAGCCTTTGGGGGGCAAGGCTTACAGGGACATCTTTGGTTCATTCAGATCGTGCCTTAAAAGATGATATTGTAACCCTAGGATTTCATCTTCACCTTTTCCCTATGTCTATGATGTGGGAGGCTTTGGTCTTATGCACACGCTCCAATGTGCTTCCTTCCCACAGACTCAAAAGCAACAGGACCATGAACTGAAACTCCCAAAATAGACCTTTGGTCTATATACATTAATTATCTCAAGGATGATAAGGATAGAAAAATCCAGCCCTTAAATAACTGTTATTCTTGATGATGTTTACTGATCAAGTTGGTATGCCTAAATATAAATCATGTTTATCAACAACAAAGGATAATTGTTTTCCTTTTCTTCAGAACATTTTCTCTTACCAAAAATTTCTCCTCTTCAGTGTTTATGCTATGGCTGTCATTATGCTATGAATTTTGTTAGTAATAGTTGCTCATGTATTAAGAGACAGATTTCATAATGCTGGTCATTTTGAAAGCACTAAGCTGTTCCAGGGGAGGTTTTATGCTTTATTACTGTTTCTGGTGAAGCTCTGTAAAGCACTCTAACTTCAATTTTAGTGAGATTGGGCTCATTATGTTATAATTGGCACTTGAGGGGAATTATACTGTAGTTAAGTCTTGCCCTTCTTTAGCATACATCACAGGCTAGCATGTGACAATGAGCCACTCACCAAGATCTTAAACTTTGTGTTCTGCATGGTACCTTCGGACTCCACTGTTATATATTAAATGAATGGAACTAAATCTAAGTCACGTTTCTACCATTTTCATTTACTTCAGCATTTCAGTGTCAAGTGATATTTTGAATTTTATTATAATTAAAAATTAATCCCTTTCAAAATGATTGTGTAATAGGAAAGAAAGCATCTCTTTTTCTCAGGAGAAGCTATGACTAAATGTCCTGAAAACTGAAACTCTGAGTACAACTTCTAGAAAGCTACGGAACATGTGGAAAGTATATTGAGCGACAGGAAAAGAAATTCTAGCTTGATTTGCAGAGAAATGTTCAAGAGTAAACACATAATAATATTCCAAAAGGAGTTTCAATAAGTAATGTAAACTTACGTATTTCTACTGCTGTTGGGTTGGTGTCACAAAATTCTGTAATGTTTTCACTGGACTGCTATGGCCCAGACAAAAGGGAAAATCCTGTACCTTTAATTTTCATTTACATTCTTTTCTTTCATTGTAGTTTGCTTGCTCGCTTTCTTGCTTTCCTTCCTCTTTTCTTCCTCCTTTCCTCCCTCTCTCTCTTTCTTTCCTTTTCTTCTGTTATTCAAGAACATTTATTGAGCTACTAAAAATATGAATTCAGACACAATAAATTGTCCTTAGCAAATCTACACTTTGGAAAAGAGGAAGAAAATAATGGAAATATTGTAACTACAAAAGTATGTACAGGACGTGATGAAACTTGCTGTCCAACACAGCGGCTAAAAATGTCAAACACTCCATTTCCCAGATATCTGTGGTTTTATTGTACAGATATTTGTCTCTTTAATAAGAATAACAATAATAAAATAATAAATGTTCCTCTTATTTGTATCAAATAAAGAGTATATACCTCACCAAGAAATGTATACACACTTTTGCAGTTTGCCATATTAATAAATGCATGGAATTTGATGGCCACCACTTTGAGCACTTCTTGTAATTGTTGGGGCCAAAGATAACTTTTACTAATCTCATGATGCCTCAATAAATGTAGTATTAAAATATTTGTCCATTTTTTCCTTTCCTGGTGTATACATTTTTGGACGGACTCTGTATATATATATTACACCCCCAAATCTAAGACAGTAGTTGTAAATTCTAAGGAAATAATTTAAAACCAAGGAAAATACTGACAGGAATTGAATGACAAGATAGAAAAAGCTTGGTAGTTGACATAAACATTGTCCTGTACCAAACCAGGTATTCCTGTCCAGGATTATTCTGCTGTGATAAAAGCCATCTTTAGTTTTTTATTAGTTTACCTTTAGTCTATTATACTCATAGTTAATTTATTATTTGATTATTTCATTCCAAAAGTTCTGAAGGAGTCTTCACATCTTTCTGAATTTTCACATTGTTTCCATCTATTGTACATTTCCTCTTGAACTTAATTTTGTAAGAATAATCCTAAAATATAAAGTATAATACAAAGTATAATTTTTATTTGTCTCTAATGAAATACATTTTAAGAAGTTATGTTATGAATTTAAAATGTCCCTGTGCCATTTCCTTTTTAAATAACCCTTTTACTAATTTCTATGAAAATCACATTTCATGTTATAGTTATTAACTTGAAGTTTAATTTTTGCTAACAGGCCTTAGGTACATAAAGTACAAACTTAAGCTCTGAGTTTGATTTTGATTCTACAGCTCCCTGAAGAGTGCAGGAAAAACTATTCAGTTTTTTTTTTTTTTTTTTTTTTTTTTACTGTATTAGATGGCACTGTTTCTTGTTTTCTGGGGATGAAGCACACAGAGTTTGCTTCACAATTTTTATTACTAATTATCTTCACTTATAATGACACATTGCAAAGTTTTTCCTATGGGTCTAAGTTCCAGTTAGTCTCATTCTAAATATGTTTCAATATTCCACCTCTTTTAATTGGTGTGGTTGGGAACCTATTAACCTGACAGACACCTGGGTTTTATTACAAGCCTCATATTAATTTTATGAGTGGTTCAATATCTTAGTCTATTTTTGCTGCAATAAAAGGATGCTTGAGAGTGGGTAATTTATAATGTAAAGAAATTTGTTTTGCTTATTTTGGAGGCTCAAGAAGTATCATACTGAGGAGCTTTATCTGGTGAAGGTTGTTTTGCTATATTACAATATCATAGATGGCATCAAACAGGAGAGAGACAGACAGAGACAGAGACAGACAGACAGAGAAGTGGAAATGAAACATCCTTTAGAACATTGCCATTAATAAATTCATAAAACCCAAGTTCATATAACCTAATCACCTCTTAAGTATTCTACGTTCAACATTTCCACATTGGTGATCAATATTCCAACATATGAATTTCATAGGATGCATTCAAAACCACAGCAGTCTGGATAAGTGTTCTGACGTCTGAAGGTTTACGTATAAATTCAAGCAATAAAATCATTTTCAAAGAGCCAGGTTTCATTTCAAATACTTGGCCTGCAAGATATAGAAGACACAATTCCTCTGCTCAAATAATTTCCAATTTTGGATATAGGCAATAAAGATGATAAAAAACTCAAAATATAATGACATAAAATATAATAAATTAAATGGGTAAATTATATAAGAAAAAATACTTTTTAAGCAGTTGGAAGGTTAAAATCTATACAATGTAACCTTTATTTTTTTTTATAATAGTGTCAGACAGTTGGATCTAGCACTCAGCCACATTCCACATCCCTAGCTCATTGCCCACCTAGCTTTCCCCAGTCGGACTCAAACTTGGAATTCACCTGCCTCAACCTCACTCAGTACTGTGATTACAGATGTGTTCTACCAACCCCATAGTTTGAGTTGATTCTTAAAACATGAATCAGGGCTCCAAATGGTTAAAGCTTGAGAAATAGTATATGTACATGCATTTGTAAGTGACAAGACAGAGCATTTTGAAAAATTCATTATTTTATTACAATAGTGTGTAGGGTACTTGAGAAAACACTATAGTGTATAGAATCAGGCTCTTTGGAGCGATAAATTCAGGACACAATAGAAAGAACTGGTATGACCTTCAAAAGGAATTTGCTCTTTACTTTGAATATAATGGAGAGCATATGAGAAAATACTCTCTGAGAGTTGAAGAGAGCATAGTAGTAATGATTTTGTTAGTATTGTGGGAAAACATCCTAGGAAAATTATTAAAATATATTTGATAGACATATTCCAGGCAGGAAATAATTGCGGCAAAATTGTGATTAGACTTTGCAAGTAATAATGAAAGTGAGAACTAGCTGGGTGTGGTGGCACACTCTGTAATCCCAGAACTCAGGAAGCTGAGGCAGTTGGATCACTGTGGGTTTGTGGCCAGCCTGGGCTACGTAGTAAAACCTGCTCTCCAACAAAAGAAAGAAACTCAGAATTAGAAATGCTAGTGAATTGTTTTCAAAAGGTCTATTGTAAACCAATTGCTATAATAAACAAGATTTATTAATAAAGTTAGTTTGTTCATTTTCCAGTCATGATAGCTGCTGACATATAATTCATATTTGCATGATTTGTGTAGCTAGGAACCAAAAGCCATGAGAGGACACTGTTCACTGCCGCACAGTGGATAGTGTGAGCAGGGAGAGGCTACTGTGATAAGGAAAATAGTCAGAAAGGAGCAAACTGATTATGTTTTAGATATTTTAAATGAATGTTTTGCTATCCTACTAAAACTCACATTAAATATACACAGTGACCAATAACTCCACATAAACTTTTTTAAAAAGTAAAATAATATGATAGATTAAATAGAGTTACTCTTAAATACAGACATTCATCTTTCCCTGAATGTTTATAATAAATATCAACCCTACCTCTGAGGAATGTCCAGAAAATCCTTAAATTGTAATAAAGGTAGTTATCACTTCAATGAAGATAACCTTCCTGCCTAAGATGTCATCTTTGATATCTCTCACTTTCAACATTTGGGACATATTTAATCTCTTTCCACTGACCCCAACACTCATGATTACCATTATTTTCTTCCTGACTTAAACCTAAAATTAGAAATTCCTCTTGATCACATTTTACTCTTTTACCAAGGCTATATTTATCTTTTTGGTGGGTGTAACTCATCTGATAAATTCATTTGTGTAAATTTACAGGCTTCAATATCTCTTTGGAGAGCAACAGAATTAAGAAATTTTGTTGTAAGCAGAGCAATTTGACTATAATATATGGTCATCTCCTTTGCTCTCTGTTCCCGTGTCACGGATATTGTGATAATAATTTACTCTAGAAGAGAAGTTAATATGTTTGTTTAATATATTTATTAATATATTTGTTTGAGTAAGCAATGTGAAGAAAACAATATGTAATACAACCATTGTTAATTTCCTATCACCTTGTCTGAAATTCTGTATTGCTTGTATTGTTTTGGTGTTGTTTTATGTCTGTGCGTTTGTTAATACACTTTCGTATTTTTATCTTTATAATAAAAATATCACAAGTATCTGAACAATATTCTTGTCCTTCTTACGTGACAGTTTACATAATCAGGAAATTTATCAGTGTCTGGCTTACTTTTTCATTGTTATAAGTATGGACTAAAAATGTGTGCTAGTACTGATCCCATGGAACACTTGATTGGAATTGGTGGGATATTACCTTTGACATTTCTGATCTGCATGAAAATTTTACTGGTAAGTAAGTTTCTATGCAACACTCTCCTGGCTTGTGCTGTGCTTAACTTCCTCAGTAATAGGAATACAAGGTGGGTCTTTTGGAAGGTACTTAGTATTAAGCATAAAAGAGGATCAAGGGGCTGGGGGTTTAGCTCAGGGGCAAAGCGCCTGCCTGGCAAGCGCAAGGTTGTGAGTTCGGTTTCTGGTACCAGAGAAAAAAACCAAAATAATTAAATAAATGAATAAAATAAAAAGGGGCTGGGGATTTAGCTCAGTGGCAAAGCGCCTGCCTGGCAAGCGCAAGGTCGTGAGTTCAGTTCCTGGTACCGGAGAAAAACCAAAAAAAAAAAAAAGAAGATCAAAAGAATCCTCTTGTTTTTATGTCATGTATTAACACACAGAAGGGCTCATCTAAAAGAACAAGACTTAAATAAGCAACACATTCTCGATGGTTGAGCTTGTACTTCCCCACATCCATAATTGTAAGCAATAATTTTTTATTGTTTTTATTTTACCCAATCTAAAGTCTTTTGTTAAAACAGTTTGAACTAATTAAGACTGGATTTCAACTGAACTAATTTCCCTGTTTTACTGTATGAACCCAAAGCTCTATCTGCTTTTCATTCCCATGAACACTTTGGTTACCAATTTTTGATTTGTGTTAAACAATGAATGCATTAGCATATGTTTTGGTATGGTTTTGTTAATATTTAATTTGATGTGGACACTGTATTTGGTGTCTTTTCAAATTTTATAGTGGATGAGATGATGTTTGCCTTGTAAGTGTACACATACTCCAAAGAATTCCATTCCCTCTTCAATGTCAGAGTACTAAGCCAACTTGTAGAAAGGTAATTCTTAATTCCCAAGCATGCACACGATCTTGAAATAAAAAACAATTTTCAATTACCACTTATGCTTTTTAAGCTTCTTTGAATTTCTACTTAAATGATCTTTGTTTTCTTTTCTGAGCAGAGCTTTGGAAAGAGTCTTCTTTGGATTACTGAATTAATAAGAGATTTGTAGGATACATTTGAATGTTTACAGAAGAAAAAATGAACAAAAATAGTCTAGAAAGTCTGTATTACGGAAATACTGATGACATATAGATATATATGACACACAAAAATAAAAGTTTACTGTCAACATTTCTGTGCTGATAAAGACAAAACAAGTTTGGAAGTGTAATGCACTATGGATACCATCTTATAAATAATAATGCATTTTCCACTCAGTCAACAAAAATTTGAATAATTGTACACAAACAGAGATTCTTTTAATCATAAGGCAGACAATTTGATAAAATCAGTACTCCAGTGACTACCTTATGAATTTAGGTACCATAAATATTGCTTATTCTCCTGCTAGAATCATTTGAATAACATAACCTCTTTCTCATTCGCAATCTCCCTGGGATAAACACTGTAGCTATTTTTTTAAAAAGACAGTAGAGCCAACGATCTAACTCAGTGGCACAGCGCCGACCTGGTAGGCAGAGGTCCTGAGTTTGATTCCTGGGACAATAAAAGACAGTAGTTAAATTGTATTGATATGAAAGGATCATAGGTAATGTAAGGAAATGGCAAGCAATTAAAGATTTAAAAGTGCATTCTTATACTTCTCACTTTTGGTGTGACTATAGTAAAAAGAACAACTGTTCATGAGGATGTAGAAAAACTAAAACTCTTGTTCTTCTCTTTTGAGAATTTAAAATGGTGCAGCTGCTATGGGAGACAGCTCAGCTATACATCAGAAAGTTGGACAATTAATTACCACATTACCTAGAAATTATAGAAAGTAGTTTACAGCAGGGACTCAAATAGATATCGACACATTATTCACATGGGTAAAAAGATAGAAACAACCAATGATACATCAATAGATAGGTAAATAAAAATTAAATTTTGTAGTATATACGTACAGTGCTTGCAGTTTTCAGTCTTGAAAAAGAATGACATTCTGTGACATGCTACTGCATGGGCTAACAACATCAAGAATGTACGTAATGGTGATTGATTATATACTGAAAAGTGCTAAAAATACTAAAGTTTATGTGTGTTTTACCACAATAAAAACTTTAAAAGTGTGTGTCTTGTATTGTGTATTGTATTTTCTAGAAGGGTGTAAGAAACTTAAAGAATAAATAAGAAGGGCTGGGGATTTAGCTCAGTGGCACAGAGCCTGCCTGGCAAGCGCAAGGTCATGAGTTCAATTCCTGGTACTGGAAAAAAAAAAAAAAAAAAAACAAAGAAAAAAACAAAGAATAAATAAGATCCAAAAGATAGATACAATAGATATAGTGAAAGGGAAAGAAGGTGCTCAAAAGAACATTTGGTTTGGGGGAAAGAGAAAAGAAGGAAGGGGGAAAAAGATATGCATATATGCAAGATAGCTAAGATAACTGTTCTACTAATTCCTATTATTTCATTGAAAGGAACATTAGTGCTTATATTATTTGATCAATTTTGCATGCTTGTACCCGGTAATCTGAGCAACTACTCTGAAGATAACAATATGCAGTATAATAACCATTGTTAATTTCTTAACATCTTGTTTTGAAATTCTGTATCTTTTTTTATTTTAAAAATAAAAGGAGGAAAACAACAGACAGACAACCTTTTACAAAATAGCAGAAGAGAAGTACAGGCAATACAGAGTTGCAAACAAAGTGGTAGGAAATTAACAATGCTTGTTGTATTACATATCTTTATAACTTAAATATATATATATAATTACTTTCTAGAAATTTTAAGCATTTGTATATCTCTCTCAAGTTGTAGTCTTTCCTTCTCAGTATAAGCATAGAGAAATATTGGTGACTCTTAGCAGCAT